TAAAAAAATATATGTTATGCAGACAGAGAAACTGAGCAACATTTGCCTCAGAGTTACCTCCAAATTCGATACCAAATTCGAATTAAAGATAAATAACGGAAAACAAAAAATAATAATAGAAACAAAAAATTTGAAAAGAGAATTATAATCAGTGTGCGGGCGGGCATGTTTTAAACACCTCCATCTTTGAAGATTTTTTATTTTTTTTTGGATTGGTGCAATTCCCTGAAAATTCATAGGCAAGTATCCCACATGATACAAAACTCATTAAAAAAACATCAAAAAAAAAAAAAAAAAAAAGGCCCCGAAACAAAGTTATAACAAAAAGAGAAAAGAGAAAAAAAACAAAATAGTGAGTGGGTGAGCACGTTTTGACACCGCCATCTTTGGCGATTTTTCATTTTTTTTTGGCTAATCCAAATATAGCAAAATTTAGAGGCATGTACCTCACATCATAGAGAACTCACAAAAACAATTTCAAGAAAAAAGAATAATTTTTAGGCCCCGAAATAATTTTTGGCGGGGGCCGAACCTCTTCAGGTTCGGAGGGGTTCGGCCCCCGAACGTGACCCCGAACGCCCGAACGTACGGAGGTTGGCCCAGGAGCCTTCGTACGTACGGGCTGGTAACCCTGCATATATATATATACTCACCATCCCGTACGTACGGAGGTCCCCGGGCAGATGGCCGTACGTGCTCCGAACCCGGCGGCGTTCGGCCCCCGTCAATATATTGTTCGGGCACTAAAATTGATTTTTTTTTTGAAATAGTTTTTTATACGCAAGAATGGCTTGACGTTTATGACCATAAGTTTTTTGTCCTTTGCGTCATCAAAATAAAAAATGAAAAATTGTCAAAGATGACGGTGTCAAAACGTACTCGCCCGAATTTTTTTTTTCACTTCTTACTTTTTGTTTTTATTTTTTTGCCGGCCGTCCCGGACGTCGGTTATATATATATATATATATATATAGTCACAAATAGAACTGCCTGGTAAACCGTATGCACAAAGAGAGTAGAGTAAAACAAACCAGTTCTCACAACCAGATATATTTGTCGAGATTCGAAGATTTATATTATATGTTTATTTGCTATGTAGAAAATCCGGATATCCGGCAGGCCATTTTATCCGGAATTTTCAATCTGGATGAAAATTCCGGATTAATTCCGGATATGGAAAAATCCGGCCCTGTGCAAAACATTTTTTTTTACCGAAAAAAAAATAATTCAAAAAATTCTGGAAAAAGATACGAACAATTTTTGGCTTGAGGCGATTGTTGATATCTCAACAGATAAAAAGATAAAAATATAAAACAGAAAAWGAAAATAATATTTGGATAAAAAATTATGAAAGAAACAAGCATCCCCCCTCTTAACCCCTTCATTCCCTATCTTACCCCCTTTCAACCTTTCCATGACTTATCAAGCTTTTTATGAAATAGGAACATAGTTCTATTGTATTTTGCATGCGCAACATTACTTTTTTTTCTTCTTTTTTTTTTACTTTTTTTTGGCCATTTTTTTAATCATCCGGATTTTCGGATAATCCTAGCCCCCGATAATCCGGCCAGATAATCCGACCAGATTATCCGGCCAGGTTTGCCGTGCTACATAGTCTATTTGTACATGAGCGGTGCGCGACGCCATCCTCGACCTATAATGTGTGATGTGTTCACGACTCTTGTTTCTTGTTTTGTGTTTCCAGATATCACGTCGCTCATTCTGTGGGCGTGTCATGAATCCTCATGATGACCGAAAAAAATTTTCTCTTCGTTACCGTATGCGTCGTCTGCCACCATGCATAACGGACGGCCTCAACCAGTCATATGCAGAAGGCAATGAAGACAAATATGACCTCGGCGAGATAGATTAACATATAAAGACGGTCACAAACGACCTGAACAACGCACGTGCTGTGCTGTCACCATCGTATTCCTGGGTGCAAACAATTGTCTCGTCCTTGCAGGAAAAAAAAAAAAGAATTGGAAAGTCGGGAGGCTCTTTGCACAATCCGTGAGCAACGTCTGCTGCACGAGTCGATTCCCCTAACCCTTCGACTTCGTTCCTTGTTTCGGGCCGCGACATTCATGGCGGCACTGAAGTCCAACTCAGTTTCTTTTTGCCACAAGCACGACCCAGACGCCCGACTCAGTCAGTATATCCCGGGACAACTTTGGGTCGTATGTTTCCGTGTCGTGTCGGGGTTCGGGTCCTGACGAGGATCATAACTCTGCTGGCCGTGAAGGACGAAATTCTCAAAAGTCGAAGAAGCAAAAACAGTTTGGTCGTTGTCCCGGACCCTCGAACTTGGACTCGTGGATCTAGTTGCAAGTGTATTGGTCGGAGATAACAACCTCGACAATGTTTGAGTTCTAATGTCAAAGTCGTTGTGCAAAACGGTGTGTGGAGGCTTGTCGTTTGTCCGCTATACTTTGTCTGCAATGGAGAAGATTTTTTTGGATATTTCTTTCCCATGTTCCGCGCACCAACACTAACTTCCACCGCATCTGTTGCAGATACTCACGACGCAACAGTATAATGGAGCAGGCACAACCTCAAGCACCCAACAACGAAGATGATGGGGCCATGGTGTACAGCCGTCGACCACGACGTAGAGTTGTGCGCGGTCGAGGGGCCCCCGGCCTTGGGCCAGCAGTCGTCGCGGCACGTCGCCCACCACCTCCTCCCCCGCAAAATGAATGGGGATCAAATACGAGCAGCATGGCCGCATCCTGCGTTTTTGGTGGAAACCGCGGTACAGATTGTCGATGAGGAGGACCGCAATGACCAGTTTCTGCACATCCTTGTGGGAAACAATCGACTGGATGCGGCGGCTAACAGATTCGCAGGGTACATGGAGTTCGCGAACCTCCGCAGTTACACCCGCCGTCAGAGACTGCCGGTGGAATTCGAGGAGGCGATGCGTATGAGGTGGCCTAACCCGCAAAACGATGGTTACATCGACGTCATTCCAGATCCACGCGCTCCGGCTGATAATGATAACCCTCGCCATGGGTAGATGCTAGAGAGAGGGAGAGAGAGAGAGAGAGAGAGAGAGAGAGAGAGAGAGAGAGAGAGAGAGAGAGAGAGAGAGAGAGAGACGTTGCTCCATTTTGACTAAGCATAGGACAACGGACTTGATATGTGCTCAACAGCATGACTGCGAATCATGCCGTTCAGCACATATCACGTCCGTTATCCTAACCTTAGTCAAAATGGAGCGTGCGTGCTGATGGCGGTCGCCTTGTCTTGCGTTAGAAACTTGAAAGTAGAGGACTTTGAAGAGAGAGAGAGAGAGAGAGAGAGAGAGAGAGAGAGAGACGAACACGAGACTTGATATGTGGTGAACAACATTACTGTTATTCATGAATCATCTCT